TACTGAGTTTAATGTTAATGCAAAGTGTACACCTAACTGCATTCACCTCTCAGAGGATCACCCTGTCTATGCTCATCCTGAAAATTTGTCTAACACATAAAAGGTGCATAAAAAGCAAAGGTGTACGTGTGTCTCCATGCTGAGAAGCCAGCATGCAAAGTTGGGAAGCCGGCATGCAAAGTTGGGCGAGACATGCTCTGAGCAGTGCTGACCCACTGACCTACACAGTATTAAACAGCAGATCCAGTGGCCAGCTTTGAAGGGGAATTGGGGTGATGAACTATACGCGCCTTTTTGCCATCTGCTTGCTGTCTGAGCTGTGTGTCAGGTCATGCCAGCTGGCCCATCCTGCGATATTTGTTGAAGCAATACTGCCATCATTTAAAGCTGTTAGGGTGTTCAGTTTCGTGGTCTTAGAGAACACTATTGATAGTTGTTGATTTTGTTCCTCTTGCTGTGTTCTAAAGTTGCTTTTTTATTTCATGAACAATGAGAAAATATTGGAAGCTATTTAAATGAGTACACAATCTATGCAATCCAGACTTTGTTATTGAAGGTAGTGTGTCCTGGTTTATATCTTTGCCTCTGCAGTGCTTGACTAGTGGACAATGTTTTGCTCACCTACAAATGGCTATAAACATAGGGCTAATTTTGATTTTCCTTACATGAGAACCCTGTGGAAAACCAGACAGTGATCAGCTATAGGTATGTGTGGTAACTATTGGGGTAACCAATACCATTTCTGCCGTACAAAAAGTGCCTTTGGTGAGTGAACCTACTTTGGTGATCTATACTGTTGTAATGTTAGGACTGAATACACGATCACAGAGAAGATCAGAAAATTATTTTTAAAGAATCATTATATGTAGGCCCTTGTCTCCAGCCTTTAACTCTTGAGAAACAGCACTTAGCAGCTAACCTGCCTGGGGAGTAGAAGTCATCTCAACAAAAATAAGAGCAACAAAATCAAGCCAGTGAGTGAGGAAGGATGAAGCAGGTCAGAGTTGGCAGTCATGATTTCGCCCTTCATTAGTGCTAGCTCTCACTGTACATTGAATTCCTGAAACCATTGTAACAATTTACAGACTGTTCTGCAGCAAAATATCATTAACTCCCAATGTGGCAATGCCGAGCTATCCTGTGCTGGTGCAGAGCTGTTCCCAAACTCAAGCCTGTGATGGCAGTTGCTGTCATGCAACCAGCATTGCAGATTCTGTCTAAAATGTGTATGCAAATCCTGATAGGCAGTCTTTGGGTCATGGTTTTCATTTATAAAGGTTAGAATCTGCAGTCAGTTACAGCTATGCAGGTCTAGTCAAGAAAATGAGGTTGCCAATGTGTAAGTGAGGCTGGATGTTAATGCTTCATCTGGTATGTAATTATATGATTGTTCACCTGTGAAGCAGAATTGATTCCAGCTTGCTCTCCTGCAGAATGAGGAATTACCAGAGGTGAAATCTTCAAGGCACTGCAATGCTATAAACAATAATTTTTTTAAAAATGAGAATTAAATGTTGTTAAAGGCAGTAGATAAGACCATCCATATATATGGGGAGCCAAGCTGAAAGAAAGAAGGTGGCATTGTTCGCACATTGACTTCTTAAAGTGGAACCACACTTGTGTCTGTGTGGTCCCCTGCTGGGAGCTTTGGTCTCGGTAAAATGTTCCTCGCAGAGGAGCTGTCTCATTATTCCCTTTCCATCATTAGCGTTTCTAGAAACTGTTTTTCATAATGGAAGAATATATTCTGTACCACAGCAACCTAATTGTCTTTTAAGTTCTCTGAAGCCACAAATTGCAGGCTGCAAATGACTATGGTAATAACAATAACAAGCCACTGTCTTTTCTTAGTTACAGAACAGGAAAGAAAAGAAAACCATGACTCGTCTTCAGCCTGTTATTTAGTGAGGCATACCTCTGAGTTTCACACACCGAATGTGTGACTTACACAGCTAGTTCCTGCTGTGTGCTTCTTGCATTTAGCCCCGTGTTTCTCCCTTTGCGATGTAGTACTAGGGGATCTCCTGCACCGCGCTTCAGGAGATGAAGTACACCTAGCCAGGCTGCTCTGAGGTATGCTGGCAGCTGCTTTTGACCCAAGCGGTCATGACTGTCCATTTTAGTCACAGTCTGGTGTTTTTACCTAACCATATAGAAGGTAGGATCCCAGATGCTGCTTACTTCTACAGCTTCTTTCCAGCTATATGATGCCATAACAGAGCCTTATGTGGCATGTGCCCCAACATATGGTAGAGCTGTCTCAAATGCCTGTATAGATTATATATCACCAGATGCAAAGCTAATGCCCAGTCCTACAAATGCTGAAAGAAACATAAAGTATATAATTCAAACTGGGTTATAAAATTTCCTGCATACTGCAGTTTTGAGACTGGAAGGAACCATATGGAAGACATACACTTTTTACTTGGAATCTGCCACTGTTCTTAGGGCGTCCCTGGTCCTGCAAGAGAGGACTGAGTTGGCGAGATGTACTTGCCTATTCCCTTCCCTCCCTAGGACACAGCAAAAGAATGAAGAGAGAAAGAAAAATATTTTGTCCATTTTCTTTTCTGTCTGCTTTCTGTAGCTGAACTGGCATGGACTGTGCTGTAAGCTGTCTAGGTCAGCAGAGAAGGAATTTTGGTTCTGAAATATTTCTGTTCCACCAGGTCTTCAGAGTTCCTGGAGTGGAGCACTGTTTGCTCCACCCTTTGCTAGGGGATGTTCTGAAGTCATTAGTTATTGCTTTGAGAGTAAGAATTTCAACATGATGCTTTTCTGTAGAAGTTTTTCGACTCTTTGCATACATCTTGAAGTATCCAAAATGTGAATGAGAAATTTTTGGCCTTGTCAATTGAAAAATACCAATTGGTCAAGTTAGTAAAATACAGTCCACTTGATGGGTTTCATTTAATTTGACATTGATGGTATTGAAAATCCATGTTTATATGTTTAACCTCTGGAAAAAGAGGTTAAAACCGCTTTTCCTTCAAGCTACAGTTGCTCAGATTACCTCAGGAAATGCCAAAGGTTTATGTCCTTGGAAGACTACTTTGTTGAGCTGTCTAACTAATCGTAAACCAAATCATCAGAAGACAAAACAGAAAAAAAAAAGGCCAAAATAAGGTTGATTCTTGGAAGTGCATCAGTTATTGGTATAGGAACTGGATCAGCAATGAATTCTGAATCCATCTGTATCTGAGTTTTTACTGTGGTTTGTCACATTGGAATAGGTGTCCTTTGCTGTTAGTGGAAAGCATTCTTCCTTGATCCTGAAGACCCTTTGAATGCATTTTAAGCATGCCAAGACACAGTTTGTTACTGTAATGTTCTGGCAGTATAATTGGAAAGTCTAGTGCATGCACATTTGAATATTTATAAGGATTTTATGTATTTTCCATTATTCCACCTAAAAATGCATTGTAGCAAATTAGTGTTGTGGCTTCAAATTAGATTTTGAGAAGATATATTGTAGTTGAATTATGCACTGATTATCTTAAGGCGCTTAGTGTTAAATGCTATTTTTACCCTGTCTGACGAATAGGGCCACTAAATGTCTGACTTGAATGCCAAACGTTATCCCTACTAAACCTGTTTTAAGAGCCAGGAAATTACAAAGGTAGCTCAAAGTTTAAAGATTTGGTTTTACTGGGCTGCTGGAGGTTTTGTGTCTTCACCAGCTTCTACAAAAAGCACAGGTGCTTTCTTAAATATACCTGTTGACATGTAGAGAATTGTCCCTATTAGTTGAATCACTTGAGTTTACCACAGCCTTACTACTTAGCTTACTGCAATTTTAGCATTTAGTGTATATTTAATTAAACTCAGTCATTGCCAAGAAGAATTTTCTTGCATTTAACCTTTTGTCTTCATTTTCATGTTGAAAACTTTACTTTACAAATAGCTCTCTGTGTGTTGCAAAATCTGTGACCACCAAAGGGTCTTAGAATATTGAGGGATTTGTGCCACCTCAGAGTAAGTGAAAGTGTTCTTCCTCCTGCTCAATGATAGAGAAGATGATGAAAAAGGTAAGACAAAACAGTATTAATTCTCCCTAGGACATAATTATGTTTCCTTATTCCATCTCTTACCTGGCTGAAAGTGCCTGGTCTTCAACTGTGTACCTCAGGTTATAATTCAGTTACACAATTTATGAACTAACAAACATACTATGATCTGCTATATTATGTGTGCTCCCCTAAATTTTCTGAGTATTCATGTTCACTTCATCTAGATGAGACATTTCAGAGTGCTCTAAAGGGAAATGCTTTATATCTTAATTTATAAATCCTTAATTTCCTTGCAAAGGACAATGAATAACTGTCACAGAACAATTAATAAGTATCGGTTTTGAATAATTGTTGTAGGCCATTATGAACATTCCATATAGCACTATAGCTATGGTTTGGGTGTAATTCTCATTGCTGAGACTGAAGTCTGCACTGAAAGCTTTCTTTGAAGTTCATACAAGCTTTTACTGTAGAAGAAAATGGGACAGGATTCCTGCCATGTTCATTCTTCCTATCCGTACTACCATCTTAGGTAATTATAGTTAGATGTGGGTGTCTGTAGTAATATAGTGAGTATTTGAAAATTGGGCGTAATTATCTGATATTACTAAAGGCTTATTTTAGCAGTCAGAAGAGAATGTATTTGGAGACAGCTAGTATCATTCATCAGAGTTAAAGGATGAAAATGTATTTATCTTGAGGAAGGCACATCCAAAGTTCTGTATTTCTGGACAGAGCGTTGCATTTTCTTTTCAAAGAATTACTTATTTCATATAGTTTATATAAAAAGTAAATTGTAGCAGGTTGCAAATTCAATAGACCTTGGAATTTACTATTAAATGGTATTTTACTGGAAACTTGTGATCTGACATCAGGCGATTGCTTCTCAGATGCTTTTCACAGAGCCCACTGCTCCTAAGATTTGTATTTTGGGGCTTCAGCCCTGTTTGTGTGGATGTTGTATTTGGGGACTTTTCTATATACTTTCAGGAATTATTTACCTGATCTCAACTCTTGGCCAGCTGACACATTCTGTGCTCTTCTTGACTGTTTCTGCGCGGGATGGAGGTGGCCTTCCCTCTGCCACCAATGCAGCTGTCACAGTAAACATCCTTCAGACTGCTTCAGCCCCTGCAATATTTGAGAGATCGCGGTACACTTTTTCTGTTCCTGAAGATGCACCTGAAGACAGCCTGATTGGCACTGTAAAGGCCAGAGAGCCTCCAAGTAAGTAAGTTGCATGCTCAGAGGTTACATTGCATTTTTGTTGTGACCACTAACTGGAAATATCTGTAGATAATTATTTTTATTTAAATTTTCATATTATTCATTCAGTCTGTTGAGCATTAAATAGTATTTACTGTTGGTATTTACAACCTGCTGTATCAGGATGCTCTTTATAACAAATGGAGATTCATGGTGGTCTTGGTGGACCACCTCTCCTTGGTGGTCCTTGGGCTTGGCAACTGCCTCCATTTTCTTCCAGATGGATTTCTATAATTGTGAATGGGGAGATGGGAAGCATGTTGTGAAAGTGTAAGGAAGGGAGGAAGGGTTTGTGTGACGGTATGGCTTGTGTTAAAGCGTTAATCATGCAAGACAAATCTCACAGCAATACTCATGAGCAGAGAGTATTCGGAAGTTTCAGAGAATCTATCTGAAGTGCTGCTGAAAAAACAAACCCCAAAACAACAAAAAAACCCTCCAAACAAAACACAAATACCGCCCCCCCCCCGCCCCATTTTCCCAAATTAAGTGGTGAAGTCCAGATGAATGTTTATGGGACCTCTCAAAAATGTATTTAATCCATTTGGTTTCCATATCATGTTTAGAGGGAAATGGGTTAGCTTCTGCCAGGCTTTAGCCGTAAAAGACCCTGTCCTGAGCCATATGGATTTGGTTCTTAGGCAGGGCAGTGGGAGCCATGAGTCCACGTACCAGTTTGATGATAGATCTGTACATGTCAGGTGGTAGAGGCAGAGGTTTTACAGAAGTTTGAGTCAGGTCCTCCCATTTTCTCCTTCTTGGAAGGAGAGCGCATTGACCACTGTCCTCAGGTAGCACCTGTGGAGTGGCCTTGATAATAAGCCTGAACCTTTAGATAGCTTTTGCTTTAGGTAGCATCTGGTGTGTAAGGATATAGCAATGGTCATCCATGAACAAACAGTAAGTTTGGTAAAATGCAGTTCTTTCAGAGAATTGCCACCTGTTTCATTCCTTGCTATAGTGAATGACTGTGTGTAGTGAAATTACTCCCATAAGATTAATTTATCAGAGTGCTTTTTCTATATTTTAGATCAGGGAAAAATAAGAGACTATTATACTATTTTCCCTATAGAGTTTTATCATACTGGTGAGATGAAAATCAAATGGTGCACAAGTGGACAAACTGTATACAGTCAGATCAAGTCTGTGCAGTATTTATTTTACTGAAGGGCTCTAGGGACAGGAAGAAGGAAGCATAAAAAGCCCAAGAAAGTCAAACATCTGTGTAGCTTACATCTATTCTGCTGAATTTAACAGCATGCATTCTTCACAGATGTTTCTACCAGTCTTCATGTTATCGCTTTAATATTTTTTTACATTTATTGTTGTTATTTCCATTTCTAGATTCTCTAGAAGTGGTTTCTTACAGAATTTCCTCTGGTGATCCACATGGAAGATTCTCTATTGACCCGCGGTTTGGTATCATCCGCACCAAAAACCAGCTTGACCATGAAACTCAGTCTGTTGTGGTGCTCACCATTCAGTCACAGTTGGGTAACTCCCCTGTCTATAGTAGCACCCAGGTCAACATATCTGTGATAGATGTTAATGACAATCCTCCAGTATTTCTTACCAAATCTGATAAGGTAACTATTTCGCATACCCAGCCACCTGGCACTGCTGTCTACATTGCTCATGCAGAAGACAAAGACAGTGGCCTAAATGGAGCAATCAAATATAGTATTGCAAGCAAGCAGTCAAATGCATTTAGCATTGATCCAAGCCTTGGAGTAGTTAACCTCACCAGAGCAGTGTTTGCAGATAAGCAGCAGGAACATACTCTACGCATAGCAGCTGAAGACAGTGGAAGTCCTCCCCTGACTTCTTTGCTGATGTTGACAGTGATTATTGAAGAGCAGAAGATGGGCCCTACTTTGGTTTTTCAAAACTTGGTGTATCAAGTAGAAATAAGTGAAGCTACTTCTCCAGGTGCCCGAATCCTTCAGGTTCAAGCCCACTCACTTGATCCACACAGTGTTTCCTCCAAGCTGACATATTCCTTAGAGCCTAGCACAGATTCTGTTGCATTTGGAATCAGCTCTGAGACTGGTTGGATTTATCTTCAGAAACGTTTGAACTATGAATGTGCACAGATACTAAGTTTTAGAGCCCTGGTCAGCACCTCTGAGGATGAAAACCTCAGGCAAAATGCAAGTACATCGATAATAGTTAATGTCCTGGATGAAAATGATAATTCTCCCATATTTATGCGTGAGAACTACTTCTTTGAAATGGAGGAAAATCCAATTCCCAGAGGTGTGATTGGCACCGTTACAGCTATTGACAAAGATTCGGGACGAAATGGACAACTTTCCTATTTCCTCTTGTCTGATGGAAAGTATTTCAAGATGAATTCCAACACAGGTAGCATTTTATGATTTGTAATCTGCCTAATATTGCTTTTAGAAAGGAACCTTCCCTAAGGGAATGGAAGTGAAAAGCTTTCAGGAACTGCTGTGAATCTCTTGGGTGGATATGTGAATATTCTAACTCAGAGCTTCACAATTTGTGGAATGAAATAAATATAATACATGTTCATGAAGAATGAACTAGCCCTTAGGATTTGATTTTTTTCATGACTTCATTCTGGTCACTTGGTCATAAGTTTCAGTGTTTGTAACAAATTAAAAGAAGGACTTTTAAGTTATAGCTTCAGTAGTTCATATGAGGAGCTTAATTGCTTGTGATCAAGTGCAGTTGAAAAGTACAGATCATCCATAAATAACTGTGAAGGTAACTATGACATTTGACAGTTATAGCGATTTAAAGTATTTGTGAAAACTCCTGTAAGTTACATCAAAACTGAGTTCTTGTTGTACATGGCACCACAGAAATCAAATTGGCTGAGAGAAATTTTTCATGGCACAGGGTGTGCTCTGCAGTGAATCTCAAATGCCTTGAGTAATAAATACTATATCCACACAGTATAACACCACAGAACGCAGCATGGAGAGCCCAGAGGAAGGTAATCCTGTAAGGAACGCAGGCACTGTAAATAATGTGGTTTAGCAACATGATACGTAGCGAGTAAAAATCTGCTGTTTAAAATGCCTGTTCCCATATGTCCACGTTTCTGTTCAGTACGTTTATGGAAGTGATAGGTCAAGGGGCAATGGCTTTAAGCTGAAGGAGGGTACATTTAGATTAGATACTAGGATGAAATTCTTCACTATGATGGTGGTAAGACCAGTACTGGAACAGGTTGCCCAGAGGAGCTGTGGATGCCCTTTCCCTGGAAGTGTTCAAGGCCAGGTTGGATGAAGCTTTGGGCAACCTGGTCTAGTGGAGGGTGTCCCTGCCCATGGCAGGGGGGGTGGGACTAGGGAATCTTTTACGTTCCCTTCCAACCCAAACCATTCTATGATTCTGTGAAGTTTAAAGGCAAATAGAGTACTAGGAGTTAACCAAGAAGATCTTAAAATAATATGTGGTTATCTGTGTGAAGGACTTTGGTCAACCACAAATCTACAGCTATATTAAGTATGGTTGAGCAGATGGAGAGAAGATTGGGTCAGATTTATTCACTGGGTCTACCAGAATGCGTAGGAGACATAAGGCTTCTTGATTAATGTATAGACATTGTGTTGAGAATTTCCTAACCTAGAGGCATAATAAAGGCCATTTGTCAGCAGTTAAAACCCTGTGCTCATATATTATCTGTCCTGAAGTGTGGTGAAGAAAAGACCAGATGGATTGCTTTGGAAGGTCAGCACGTTGGTTCATACTGTTTTATACCTTTGCTCTGGGGCATCTGCTGTGCAGTGAAGGATGTAATATTAATTTTCTTTGTCCATCAGGTGAAATTATAAACTGGGTTGCACTGGACCGTGAAAAACAAGCTCACCACCAGCTGACCGTGCTAGTGACCGACCACGGGTCACCGCAGCTTAATGCCACAGCAGCCGTGTACATCACGGTGAGGGACGTCAACGACAACAAGCCCCTATTCCCTCAGGTGGCGCCCGGGCAGGAGCTGCACCTCAAGGTGGGTGCTGCCGGCAGGGATGTGCTGCCTTGCTCTGAGCACCACCCTGTGGCAGGAGCCCAAACCCCCTGTCCTATGTAATAGTACGGCACTGAAATGGAAGCGTAAACCATTCGTTATTTAGACTCGGGTATATTTGGGGATTTCAAAATTTATCAAATGATTTCACTTCTCCTTCTTGTATACTGTGAGATGTAAAGGATATACACATATAATTTTATTTATGTATGCAGTACAATCTCTTTTAATATCTGACTTCTGAGTCTGCTGTACTAAAGACTTTTCAATTATTTAACCATTTCCTGAAATGCTCTTTAGACTGACTGTAAACATTACTGAAATGGAAAATAGACCAAGAGCTAAACTTTTGTGTTATGGAAAGGAATTTATTTTAAGGCTCGCTGTTATCCATGTATATTTGCAAATTATTTATAAACTGCTTGATGACAGGTTTTGGAAGGGCAGCCATCAGGGACATTTATTACCACTGTCTTTGCAAAGGACTTTGATTCTGGAAACAACGGTGTGGTATTATATTCAATAGAATCAGGTAAGAATTTAAAGTGTTATTTGTAAGAAAAGATACATTCAAATAACTAGAGTTTTAGAGATGCCATGTATACATACAGGAAGATGGCTGTGTAAATAGAAATGAGGACCATTATATGTCTTGTGAAGTATCAGAGGTGCAAGCAGCTATGTCTCCTCCTTTCCCCCTCTGCTCCATCTTCCCAGGGGTTTGGTTGCTTGTGTGGCCAGCCAGAGAGTGTTCTAAAAGCACTCAGAAAAGATTGGGACCATGATCTTGTACTGTACAGTTTAGTGTTTCAGTCAGTTAACATCTTAAAGGAAAGATGATCTCCCTTTTCCCATGACCAATTGAAAATTTTCCTGCTAAAAGAGCAGTTCATGACAGTCTGAGACAGGGATCAGAAGGATCAGCAGATAATCTGGGCAAACAATGAGGCTTGTGGTTTTTAGTTCATGTTTCACCCTTTGTTTAGCACTGTGTTAGCCTGACATAGTGTGGCCACTTAAAAACACTTCTCTTGAGTTTTCCCTTTAATTCCTACATGTAGTAGTTCACTTCTGGGGTATGCTATAGGATCCAATTTTGTTTGCAGTGAAATCACTAACAGAGCAGCCCTAAATTAGAACATGAGTGGGACTGGGACGTTAATACTGGTAAGAGACATAGATGTGATCTCTGGTTTTGTCACATGCCATTTGCTACACTTTTACACAAGAGACAACTCTGTCTATAACCAGCGAGGAAAACATGACTGTTCCTACTGCTTTGATGCACTATTGGTTCAAAGCAGCAAGAGGTGCCAAGGACAGAACTATTCCTTTTATTGCGGTACTTGCTCAATTCTACCAGCTTAATGTAATCAACACCTTTTAAGCTTGGTATTTGTATTTGTAGTCTGTGGTCATTTGCACATAGAGCATACTGTTTCATCAGACCAAGAAAACATTTGCAATATTCCCATCCACTCAGTGCATTTCCTCAGGTGTTCTTTCTGTGTAGGCAGAGCTCATATATGAGCTTGGTTGGTTTAAACTCATTACAATTATTTGTCGCAGAGTAAAGAACAAAATACTGCAGAGCTACATTACTCCTCAGTCTTAAAGAGCAAAAGAATCTGTAAGCTCTGGTTGCCAAGGCTGAAATTACCAAAAGATTCCCATGGATTATGTTATGCTGTGTCTTTACGTACCCTTTTGATTTCTGTGGGGTAATGGAAGGACTTTAAGATCCAAATCCACAAGGGTAGGAGAACTAACTCTGCTCTCTTCCACCAAAAGATACTAAAAAAAAAAAATAAAAAAAGAGACAGATGTTTAACAACTCTATTGAAAATTTTGCAATTGAAATATATGTAGATAATAAAAGACACTGGGGTCGGTTTATGGCCATACTTTTATTGCCTTAATTTGGATACAAGTGACTGCCTCTTCCAGGGGGAATTGTAGAGAATCATAGACTTCTTCATTGTGAATAATAAGATTTTGCACTTAATGATCCCCCTTAAGAAAAAGGGAATGAGTAGTACCCAACCCTTTGTTTGAAGGGTGATGGCCAGGCAACACGGGAAGTGTTCTTCAGGGGTCTCTGTTGGTCTGTATATTTAACTATATCCCCTTCCTTCAAACAGCACATTGGATTTTCTTACTGGCTTCATTGTAGAGCCCCAAAGGGGAGTAAGTAAGAGTTCAAATTATAAACATGACTAGCAACACAAAATATGACTGGTCTTGCAAATGCAGTCTCTAGAAAGAACAAAAGGATAAAAACAGCAGCAAAAAAAACACTAAAAGAGCCCTCCCAGCCTTGGAACTAGATATTTTCCCGATAAACAAATCCAGAAACAGCTGAGCTTCTCTGATACTAATTTTTGTTGTTGTTGTTGGTTGGCTCACAGCCTTTAACATCTGGTCTTCTGTTTCATGGTGAAGTTCTTGCCTGGTTTATATTTAAAATAGTATTTTCTAGTTCTGGGACATCGTTCAGTACTAAATATGAAGAAGAAATATGATCTGATTTACAGCCATGTTTGTTGAACACAAAGACATCAGGTTAACTGGAGGACTGCATGCAGACCAGTGCTCTTTTCAACAGCTGAGGGACTGCCACAAGATTAAGAGCTTTGAGTGCCAGTGTCAGCTGTTCAGCTTGAAGAGTCACCGGGTAATTTTTAGTGTTCTTGAGACCTAAAGAAATGCCAAGATAGCAGCAATAGATTAAGTGATGCAGGAGGGCTAATGACACATGCCAACAAATTATGTAAGGAAAAATCTGTAAAAGAACAACAGATGAATTTTAGCCTTCAGAAGAGAAGTGTTTCCTTCAAAATGCATCTCCCTCTTCCCAGAAAATAAAAAAAAAATAATCCTTAGGCATTCATGTGCATGGAAATGCATCATCGTATGGCCATACCTCCACTTTTGTGTTATCACTGAGAGAGTAACCTAATTCAGAGGGAGGTGAATTCCTTAGTGATGCTGGCAATTGCAAAGTGATTTGCTTGGCCTTCTTTACAACTGTCAATAGGTTATAGTATAGCATTTGTGCAAAAATTAGTCTATATTTATAGTGCATCATAGCTATTGCATTGTGTGTTATGCCTCCACTTTGTCAGTGCTAGTGTTTTACATTTATGTTTGGACCAACTCTGCAGACACACTAGCACTTGACCACCAGAGTGCTAGGAGAAACCTAGTTTACACAGCTAACACACACAAAGTGGCAAGTTTTGTATGTATGTCTGTGGACAAGCGCTTGTTCTCTAGGGTGATTTGCAAGCAGCGTGCAGGGAGCATTCCTAGACTTGCAGAGGGCTGTGTTTCTACAGCAGCCCCTCAGTATTCAAGCTCTTTTGGAGCCATGGCACCGCCACCTTCTTTTCTGTTAAGAGAAACAACTTTTCTTTCATCTCAAAGGAGAATGAGATGGCCAAGGCACTAAGTATTTTAAAACCGAGGAAAGATCAGTTCTTCAGGAAAGTAGGTAAAAATACATAGCTAACTATCACTGCATACTGAGGTCACAAATATTGGACAAAACTCGAGTGTTACTTTCTGTCTGCTTTCTGGACCATTTTGTCTAAATGGTAGTCCCTGAAAGGCTTTAATGTTCTGCCAAAGTTTACAGCCACACATTGCCTGCGGTTTCTCAGGTCATCTTTTTTTTTTCTTTTTTTTTTTTTTTTTTTTGTCCAAAACTGCACTTTCTGTGATTATGTTTGAGAACACAGAGTTGAGAAAGTACCTGGGCTTTGGAGAACCTCATGTAAATGAAAGCCTGGTCAATAGGTTGGACGATGCAGAGGTGGAAAATATGAGTGAAAAAGCACATCCATTTACTGGTAGGTTAGAGTTGCAAGCACAGATTGGGGCCATTAGAGTCTAGTTATCAAGAAATTTAATTTTTTTCTGTTCCATGCTTTATCTACTCTTCTCAATTTCCTTCTTTCTTACCCATTTCTCTTATACTTTCTTCCTTTTCATACAAAAAGGAACATATTTAGGGTGTATGATATAAGCAGCAGTTGCCTAATACAGCTGACTTAAAGATGAAAGCTGAGCAAAAGTTTCTCGAAGTGCAGAGACCATGAGCTTTTAGAGCAACGACTGACATGCTCTTTGAGTGTAAAACTTAAAACCACCTTTTCCCTTATTCCTCACTTTGAACTTCCAAAAGAATGAGGAGGAGGGTTTGGAGTGTATTTAGAAAGTGAGCAAGCTACCACTCACATGCACTTGCCCTTTGTAATCTTGGGCAAAAGTATTCAAAAGTGGTCTATCTCTTCTCTTAGTACATGTCATCTTAGCATCTATTAAATCAGTTGAAAAGCAAGATCTGTCTTTAGGTAGGCTCTTGACATTCAGAAATGGAAGAAATTGCTTTAGCTACAAAACGTAGTATAAAAGTTCAGTTAGTCTTTCTGTAGATGAAGGGAAATCCATTTCATAAGAGTTTCTTTTCTTGACGTTTTTTTCTGATTTGGAACCAAATGGCTACACTTTGAAATGGTCCATGAATAAATTTTTAAAAGACTGATAAGAATACCAGAAAAATAGAAATACGATTTTTCAATTTTGACTGTCTTTATAGTACAGTACCAAGTCCTCATAACCTCCTGCTCAGATTGCAGTTGTGTGCTTGCAATGTTTTTGTTCTCTGATTTTATTTTATTTTTTTAACTATTTTTTGGTTATGTTTGGTAACTGTAGCTCCGTTTTGGTAGAAGAATGAAGGGCATAGTTTTGTGCACTTCTATTTACTGTTTTCTTTTTTTTTTTTTTGTTAGTTCTCCCTATCAGTTATTTTAAATGTCAGTTTTAGCAAAATGTTAAAAATACATGCATGCAATTTACATTGTGTTCTGTTTTTCGTATCTCTTTTGCCTTTTGCTTAGCTGGGATTTTGTGTCATGAAACATTATATGGAAAAAAATAGTGTATCTGTGAATGTAGACATACTGTTGGGACCTAAACCAGGAAAGTAACTGAAAGCTATTTATGAAAACAGTAATATAGCAGCATTAATATTTTGAAACTATCATGAAAAATGCAGAATGTAGGACTGTCTCATTCCATATAATTGTCTCTACGTATTATTTCCTTTTGTTGGCAATTTCCTCGTTACGTTCCAGACTGCACGAGTCAACCCAGAAGGGACTCGTGGAGCATTAGAAACCTGTGGTCAGGCAAAAATAGCAGAACAGTACTGGAAAAAACTCCTATTTGTTGATTGTGAAAACCCTGTTTTCTAACTAGCTTGCTCACTGTTTGTTCAAATTCTACAGGTGCAAATATTTTACAGTTGCAGGTAAGGCGATTAAATAAAAAAATCTATATGTATCTAAATACACATCTATATGTGCAGCTAACTAATTTGCATGTGCAGATTTGGAGAACATAAACAGCTTCATGCTCACTTAAGTGCCTATGGACATATAGTTCTTTATGGGTGTTTTGTGTACTACATCTGCACTGAATTTATTTTTACCACAGTTGCTTATTAGAATAGCAGCTGTTGTACTACATGACTTTATTTAACCCACTAGCACACCTTATTAAAAATTCATATAGCAAAAAGTTGTTTGCATAGTATTTTAAGAGGCAAGCAGTTATGACAAATTTGATTTTCTGTTTCTGGTAATGTAGATAATAATAGATACATGTAATGTAGATAATAGTAATAGATACTTTCCCATTTTACTAAAAATCGGAAAGTATTTGTATTGCATTCCTTGGAAATGGGGGAGAAGTCACAAAGACCTATTTACTCATCTATGGTAGAATTTTTCTTTGCAACTGTAGAATCAATGTAATATGATATAGCTACTACTAGTAATTTGAACTAGAACTGGCTTGTTATAAGCATGCGGCCAGTCTTTGATGAAGGATGAAAGCATAATTTCCAATATTCACATGTTGCTTTGCAACAACTTACTGTAAAATTTTAGCTACCCTGGTTAGCTCCTGGTTCAGAGCACAGGCAGGGCAGGTGGCATCACTGCAGTTACGATGTCTTAGGGGTAGATCGGTCTCTTTGCTGACCTGTAGTCTGCGAGGGACGTGAGCCAGCTGTGTACCCAGCATCAATTGACCCTTCACGCCAGCTCAGAGACTAAGACTTAATTCTTTCTCTGGCCCTGCCTGCCAACTTAGGTTGGAGATAGGAGTACCAGTCCTGGGGTGCCTGCCTGCTGCTCACACTGCTGATGTAACGTCGGTGCAAAAGCGAGCAGTGGCTTTGATACTCCATAGCATTACTCTGGATTTAGAAAGCTACAGAGAGAAAGTGGTTTGTAATAACTATGTACTCAATGAAGGAAGAAGAGGTGAACCAAATGAGCCAGAGAGCTCTAAATGAGTGCAGTGGGTTCCCTTTCCTCTGGCTCCAGCTCTTTCTTACTCATTAATTGCTGTGGCAGTACTAAGGAGGCAAGCTGAAGAGATCTATAATAATTGATATTCATTTTTTCCCTGTAGAAGATGATGTAGGATACTTCCAGATTGATGCTGTCAGTGGGGAGTTAAGAACAACCCGGTCTCTGTCACATGCTGAGAGATCAGACTACAGAATGATGGTCACAGCCACGGACCAGGGGATGCCATCACTTCAAGGACATGCTGCTGTTTACATCCAGGTACTGGTTTGTTGTACAGATAGGAAAATTAGGCTAGCTACTTAGGTTTTTTGAAAAAAACAATTTTAGGAGAAGCTAGGGAAATAAGCTGAAGGAAGGAAGAAGTTCAAAATTATAAGCACCTTGTCTCAAAATTTTCTTTAGCCATTTTTTCCGTTGAGGGAGGAAATAAGAGGGCAGACTCATTTTTATTTGTTAAGAATACCCAACAGGATTCTGAGTTGTCTTGCAAATAGATGATATTTGTGCTTTAGTAGGACGTCATTATGAACACTGGAAAAGAGAAGGAAAATATCCAGGTAGGCAGAATATGAGGAGGGACTGAAAGTGGGAGAGAAATAAACTAAAATATCTCTTAGATATTTCTTTTTCTCCACTATGTTACTCTATTTTCTAAATTCTGTTTCTGTAACGTAGCATAAGGATAGCTCATTCCTTTAGGCTGGTTTATACAGGGCTGCTCTGCACGGGAATGTAAAATCCAGCGTGTGCTCTTTCTGCAGCGAGCCACCTGCAGTTCATCAAACCGCAGCAGGGCTGCTTTGTCCAGACCGCCTGTGCACTCCTGTGTCACAGACTGAATGTCACTGAGCCTGCTATTGTCATGTCACCCAAAAGATGCTTAATTTTGGATAACTTGGAAAAATGCTTCAGCCAAGACAAGGCAAATACAGTTCCCACAGTTAAAGAGATTCTTTCATTTTAAAGCATGAACTTGAAACGCTGCAGCAATCCATAATGCATGAAACTCTGCTATGAAAAAATCAGCTGCTTGTGTTTGGCAAACTGCATAACATACCATGCTTTGTCACCTTGTCCCTGTGATGCTGTCTATGCAGAAAGTCAGTTGAAGTGCTTCAGAGTAGGGACAGAGGTAGCAGTATTCAAGTCATCAGTTTTTGGATGCCTGTGATTCAGAGGATGAGAGACAATCTTGTCCCTTTTTGAATGTGGGAATGAAAGATACAGTTATGGAATGACTGGCCAAGGACTATTTGAATTCTTACAGAGCAGGTTGAGTTTGCTTTTCTGGCTTTGAGGCATGCTTAGGATAAAGATAGTCACAAATAATAACTTATTAAACTCTCAATTAAGGAAAACCATTTTCATTACACTATTCATGATAACAATGGGAAAATATTGCAGTCTTTGTGCTTTTGTTACAGGTAGTCCCGCTTCCCAATGGGAGATCTGTCTTCTCTCAAGATTTCAAGCACTTTGTCGTACCTGAAAATTTTAAACCTGCACAAGTGTTGAATTCTCTTAAGTGGCCTGATAATCATCTAACAACTAACAGGAAACTGCATTTCAGTATCACTAAAGATGATGATGATGTTCATTTTGAAATAGATAGCTTGACAGGAGACCTTTTTCTTTCCAAGGAACTTGACTATGAAACAACTTCACACTTCCTTTTGCAAGTTATTATAAAGGATTATAATAATAATCCTCCACAGAATAATACTGTCTTCCTAAGTATCGATGTAGAAGATCAGAATGATCATTCTCCATATTTTCAAGATGACTTTGTAGTGATTGGCATAGAGGAAAATGTACCTGTTGGCACTCTGGTTTACACATTCAATGCAAAAGATGGGGATGGCAGTTTTCTGAACAGCAAAATACAGTATTCCCTGGAAATGAGAAACGGAGGTGAAAATCCATTTCTTATTCACCCTTCATATGGCACGTTGACCACAGCTTTTCCACTAGACAGGGAGATTACTCACTCTGTGATCCTTACGGTGTCTGCAGCAGACCAGGCAATAAATCTGACTGATCGCAGACTTGATTCCCTGGCTGCAAAAATTGTTATTTTAGATATCAATGACAACAGTCCCAGTTTTACATCTTCACCTCTTTCCTATGTCATGGAGGATGTGGAGGTGGGCTTCTTTGTGCACCGCATAATTGCAAAGGATCCTGATGAGGGAAGAAATGGAGAAGTTACATATCACATTCTTTCAGGCAATGAAAACAAATCATTTGTATTGGATAAAACTACAGGTACTGTAACTCCTGTTCTCTGGTGTTTCTTGTATTGTGTTTCTCAGGGTAATATTTAGGAGCGCATACAATGCAATACTGAAGTACGACATTACTATGGTATTCTACCCAGGTGACTTATCGTCCTCAGGGGTGATTACCTCATGCAGAGCACCACACCAGTACTATGTACAGTAGACAAGCTCAGTGAGCCTCAGCTCAAAAATTTCTGCATGGCTCTATTACTGTGTTGCGTAGATGTACTGGAGCGCCTTCCAATAGTGCATTAAGGAATGTGGGAAGAAAGTATGTGCAGTGAAATACTTTATTCTGATTTTTGCATGATGCATACTTAAAGCATGTGCACACATATGTTGCTACATGTATGCACGAGGAAAGGCAAAGTCAAGATCAAGGAATGTGCATTATACTGTGGGTGGAACATGTTCAATGGAGGCTCAAAGTGCTGATGAATTTCATTCTTCAGCCCCCTGAAATTCTCTGGTTCCTGAATGAGTTCTGGAACTAATATATCATCTGCACACAAATGCAAATCTCGCCATAATATTTGTAATATTTTCTGGTTCTTACTCTGAATTTGAATCCATTATGTGATGCAGCTGTCACTGATTTGCAGAGCTGCTAATTGCATAACTTATGTGCAAAAGACAACAAATATTTAAGTTAAATAAAGTTAAAAAGTTAAGCCCAGAGTTCAATAAAAAGGAATCTCTGAACTTCACTTGAATATTGTATGAATCCCAGTTTCCCTTGATGTCAAAATTTAGTGTTTCTGGGCCAATTAGCAGTGTAAAGGGAATCAAAGATAATAATTGACTCTGAAGTCTGGAAGCCTTACAGCAGTGGCACAGCATGCATGGTGATGCTACATTGAAGCTGTGAGTGCTGGAACAATTGGGATCCTAACCTGGACCAGAATACTTTTCTAATACCTTCTTCCTTTATAATAGGACTCCTAACTACAGCCCAGCTTCTGGACCGTGAGATTCAGGAGCGCTACAGTTTGACAGTCATGGCTCTTGATGACGGCAGCCCTGCTCTGTCCACCACGCAGGTTCTAACCATCGTTGTTCTTGATGTGAATGATGAGACCCCGATATTTCTGAAGCAACTTTACGAGACTGCAGTTCGTGAAAACGAAGACCCAGGAGAGTTTGTCATAAAGGTGGAAGCCGTGGACAGAGATGCAGGTAACTTATGTCCTTTCACTATTCATTTCATTATGGACCATAGTAGACCAATCAAATCTTGCTGCCTGCTGTGTTTGCCTGTACAGCCATTGTGCTTTTGCCAAGATAATCTGAGTTTTGAGTTTCAAAACATGCCTGCTGGTTCAGATCCTCAACATTTATTCAGGGCTTGGAGGTATTCTGACTTGCGTGCTGGCCTAGCTTCAGCTCTGACTGGTATATTGAATGTAAAATGCACACTTGGATGATGCGGGGTACCTCAGCGTACTGTTGCTTTCATGTGAAGATTGCCAGTGTGCCTTGGTTATAAATCGGCAGTGTTCAACTCAGTTAAAGTTAATACTTGAACGTTTTGTTGCTCTCAGAGCATTTCCAGTAGTTTTTAAAGAGTTTACTAGACAGGGTCCTGGGTTTGTAACGTAACATGCAAATGTGCACTAATATTTTTTGACCAGAGAGGGGCACTGTCATCCAAGATTTTCCAGCTAGTTGAGCTATGAAGGGGTCATGGAAGCCGCTCTGAGATTCAAATATGATTTTACATGCGTAAAAATGTTAATGCATTGCTTTTCAAACATACACAGAATGGATAAGTAAGAAGGGGTGGTTCGTCTGCTCTTTGAATCACAGGTAAGGACTTAAACGTGAGAGAGTCTTTGCTAAACAACAAAAAGTTCCCTCCAGTTCTTCAATTACCTGCTCTTTTGAAATATCTAAAATGTATATGATGTTACAGGTAGTCTGTGTGCTGGAGAGAATCTTACCTTCAGTAATACCAAGCAGTATACCAGTGCATACAGTCAGTGTAACATGAAGCAGTTACACAGAGTCTGTAGTCTGCAGTAAAGATAATCTGAAAAGAGAATTAAATATTGCAATGCTGCTGCAATTGGCCCAAAGTTTGTCTCAACTCAGTGAATGACTTTCTTTTTACCCTGGATTCACTTTCTGCACATCTTTACGCTTGTTTAAGCTTATGCTATCCAAAAAATAGATAAAACAATAGATCTTGTATAATAATAATTTTCTGTATTCAGTAAGATTTGCCATTTTAATGGAGAGCACATATTGATTACAAAAGGCTAATGTGAGCTCAGTAGAGGTGCTACATAGAAGAGACATTTCCCCACAAGTATGTAAAGTATTTAGAAATTAGGAATGGGTGGGTAGCCCTGTCTTTGAAAATCGTGACAGCTGAGCAGCGTTAGTCTACCTCTGTACCTCGCTCTTCCAAGTATTCCAAGTATTTTCTTTCCTTTGTGGATCTCACTATATAAAAAAAAGGCAGTACTTGAAGTAAAAATTTGCAATAAGAGAGAAAAAAAAGTGGGAATTTGCCTGAATTCCTCTCCCTCCTTTCTCCATCCCTTATATTTATTTATTGCACATCTTGTGGGAAACACAGCAGAAGGGAAATTTTGGGAACCATTAGGAGGAGGGATTGGGGATAGCTTGGCAAGGCAGCGAGGATGGGCATGCCAAGTGTACTGGGTGGCGCAGTGTGCGCCTGCTGTGCAGACACTTTGGGCTGGAGCAGTGTTGTGGCTGATGGTTCCTTCCTGCTTTTTTTTTTTTTTTAAAGTACATTTTCCAATAACCACAGTCCTTCTGTTGGGTCTTTTTCTCACATTTGCCTGATTTGGCCTCATGTCATGTGCGTGTAACTATATTGTTCCAAACAAATACTGAAGTGATGCTCATAATGTAAGAAAACAGGATTTATATAGGAGTCATATAAATATAATGCTACTCAATTTTGTTAAATATTTTTTTGAACAGAATTTTTTAATAAGACAACTCTTCTCATGGTGTTCTTTTTTTATATCACATTTTTTACATTATTTTTATTTGGTCTTTAAATTGCAGTTCACATCCCAGTAATATTTGCATAGCCTCAGTGGAGGACTTTCCTCCCATCACAGGTTTTGTGGGTTTTTTTCATTTCATATGTTCCCTGACTAACCACAGGGAGGAATCATTTTTACTGACAATTGCAGCCATCATCAACTTCTTGTTTTATTTGTCTTTCTACTTCATTGCCTGAAAAGGGAAGAGGGAAAGCAAGTAGCTGTCACCTTCTTTGTATTTGACCCAAACTTTAAGCTTGCTTCCAGTTCAGAAGGTCTGTTTTGGGAAATCGCTACTAAAATTTTTGCTTGTAATGATTTTCTTCCATGTGGATACTCATGAAACTTCTTGTTTGGCTAACTCCCTCCTGCACATTACAAGAGCTGCACTTATCGCAACTGTGTGTTGCCTCGCTTTCTCAAAGTCCTCTTACACTGCGGGAGCTCTCCACCTGCCCCAAGGCTGGCATCTAACAGGGCAGTGCAAGTGAATACAAGTGTAAAGACATGTGTAATACAAGTAAATGTTGGAAACGAATGCACGGGAAAGCAAAGATACCCGCAGTGTATTTAAGATGGGTCAGGGGTTCACCTTCAGATATGTCTTTGCAGAAGCTGTGAATGACCTGAACTAGCTTTTGTCAAGGTCTGCTTTTGAGCAGATGTGCACCTCTGTGGTTCAGTAGTTATGTCTGGAGCCTTAGGAGAAAAATCTCTGAAGGTTAATGGGGACTGCTGCCTTAAAGTTATGAGACAGCCATTCACTAGACATTTTGTCGCACTCATATCCATGGATTATTACGGTCTTAACAACAGTAGCATTATAAAGATGAGCCTTGAGCCTAGATTTGGGGCAAGGGAGACGTTTGTTCCCATTGCTTCTTCACCAGTGTTGGCAGTAGACATAGCCAAGTGTAATGCCACCGCTGCTGCTTCAGAGAAGCCGTGGTAGCACGCTGGGAGAGCAGGGGTGGTGGGGGAATGGGAAAGGGGGCTGAAGGTTTATCCCTGGCTGCAGCTCAGGAACCATGCATCCACCCTGCCATTTGGCCCGCAGGGGCAGAGGTCCCTGCCACTAGCCGGTGTCAAGGAAGGGGCTTAGCTCCTTTTCCAGCTCATAACGCACAGGAGAAATAGTTTGTTTCTCACTTCAGTTTGTAATTTCAGCCACCAAAATGTGACTAGCACTCGTGCATAATTAACCAACAGGTTGGATCAAGTGCAGATGTGTCAGCTGCTGTGCCGTGGTATGTGAATGCGTAGAATCAACATGCTCCTCTTGGGCAGGGTGTGCAGCTTTCTCCTGCTGCTAGGTGTACACTCCTAGCAGCTGGATATGAGAAAGGAGGCAGTAAGTACTTGGGAAATAAATGTAGTTAAGGTGTCACGTATGTGTGTTTTGAGAGTTAAAAGTTTTAATTTCAACAGTGTGTGAATAGTCAACTTGGATGGCACCTGCATGTTTTTTCAGCACTGTCTGTGAATAATGTCCACTGTGAAATCTGTGGATGCACGGGGTTGAAGCAATCCAGTTGCAGGAGACCAAAGGCCAATAGTTAATATCAGCCCTGTGGTGCCATGTGGTTTTGTTGGGTTTTTTTTCTTCCATCTGTAGCATGTTGATGTTTAAGAATAGATAAATGCAGATGGAACTGTGAATATCTTTTTAAATGTAGTTGAATGGTATCTAATACAGACAGATCAGATAGCGTATTGGTAACCTTAAACTTTCAAGACATTCTCCTTGAAAGTCCTTACTGCTGTGATTTTTTTTTTTTTCTTTTCTTCTGGAAGCCAGGAAGGATTTCTGTGACTCCTTTTTCCTTCTGCTGTCAGTTGTATGAATATGTCCTTCCCTTGACTTAGTTTAAGTGCAAATGCATTTGCAGTAATAATTCTTTCAATCAAATTTCAGTAGAATTGTCAACTCTTCAGCAAAGCTTTCAAAGGCAAACAAAGGAAGTCATGGACTTTAAAAAAATGTAGGCTGTTTCTTCTCTCACACTGATGTTTCTCCATCAACTCCAGTGCAGGTTGTCCTGTTTGATACTGCAGCAAATGAGAACAGGCAGGCAGTGTTTAACTCTTAATAGCAGTTTTAATATGACTAGGAGTGCTGTAGCTTTCCAGGTGCACTAACTGTCCCTGCCCTACTAAAACCTGATTGTTGGTTGGAAAAACATTGAATTATTGAATGAAATTTAAAAAAGAAAAGGAAAAAAAAAAAGGGGGGGGGGGGGGGGAAGAAAAAACCCCAGAGCACGGTAGTACAAGCCTTTCAGGTACAATGTAGGATTAAACTCATTAAAGTTGATAATATGAGTGTGATGGAGATGACATTATGGCTCCTTCAGGACGGCATCAAAACTAGAAGATGTATGAAATAAATTATTTTATAACTATAATAGGCAAGAATGTGGAGTCACATTTCCTGCCTAACTCAGGTGGGCAACTTCTGAAAGAAGGGTTTTTAAAAGCCTATACAGTTTTAGCCTACTATTTCCTAGAGAAGGACAGGGAGGTTAATATTCCTGTACTATATACAAATGGTAGGTCTAATTAGAAACTGGATGGAATTGGCATTCAGAAAAATTCTGAGGGAGGGAAACTCTTTATCCTTCTCTTCTGGAAATGTTGCATGACTTTATAAAACCAAGCAGTATCATTTCAGAGACCAGCTACAAGTGGGAGCAGTCTAAAAGGCCTAAGATGTGCTGTGGGAATGCCCAACAAATTGGCTTTTATGCTGAAGACAACTAGAAGATGCCTACCTTATGAATTCTGACGGGACTTAGGCACCTGTCTGCTCAATATTACAAATATTTAGAAGTGGTGGACAGGCCAAGACGTGGATATTTTCTCTGAATGCTTATACTGTTCAGTGTCGTACAGTACGGAGATGCTTGCATTGACTCCAAGTGAAGTGGAGAACCAGAGCTGCCAGAGCAGCCCGGTACTCTGCCTGACATCCTGTTGAGAAATAAATTAACCACCTCGGGGAGACAAAAGACAAATGCATGAATTCCATGGCCTAAGTTAATGCTCTCTTGCACCATATGATGGTGCTGATATGTCAGCTTGTTTGGAGACAGACTCTGACTGCCAAGAAATGTTGCTGGGGTCACTTTGAGTGGCTGAAAAACTTAGGCACAAAGCAGCAGCTGGATAAGAATTTTGAAGACCCAAATTTTAAATTTTGATCTTTTGTGCTAAAGAAGAAGCAGTTACTCACTGCATTAAAAATAATTAAATCCATAACCCATTTCCTGGGGTGGAGGAGGAGAAGAAACAAACAAATATGTAGACCTGAATGTGAGGAGAGTGGCTGTGTCTAACTAAGACTTCTATTCTGCTTTTAAGGGCTGAATTCCTTGCTTCGGTATGAAATCTTACCAGGAACTGGTTATGAGAAATTCAGGATGAACTCGGACAGTGGGGAACTTGTAACAACTGCATCACTGGACAGGGAAATCCAGGAGGTTTTCAGTATCAAAGGTAACAGTGTAAAATATCTATAAGCACCCATAAAATGGGAAATGAGAATGGGTGTGGCGTTACTATCAGCACTGCCTTTTTCATGCCGTCTGAATTAGATGGGAGTGGTAAGACTTTCAAGTACAGAAGAGCACATGCTTTTCGCATAGCACAAATAACTCTCCTATTTTGCTATTATTTAGGAACATCTATTGTTGCACCCACAACCATTGTATAAAATTTGCTTTCTTTTTATTAATCTTAGTTTTGGTTCGAGATAGCGGAAAGCCATCGCTGTCGAGCACGGCGACAGTTATCTGCAAAGTGCTGGATGAAAATGATCACTCTCCCACATTTCTTCTTCCCACGTCCGAGATCCATATTCCAGAGAACCAACAGCCTTCTGTCATTTATGTTCCCCGCGCTGTGGATATGGATGCTGGCAATAATGGAGCTCTAAGATACAAAATAATTGGTAAGTTACACTCCATCATTTTGTTACTGTAAATCAGGAAGTATATAAACAGCAGCATCCAAGTTTTAGACTAGTCTTGATTTTACCAGACTTCTCTAGCTCCTGTCTTGTTCACATGCTTCTTTCATGTGGAAAAAAAAAATTATCTTTCATCCCTTTGTCAGCGTTAATAAGCACTTTCCAAGCATACTTTCAGTCTGCTTTCTGGATTTGAAATAGTACGGAAAAGAAAAACAAAAAACTACCAAGTGCTGGAAGGAGGCATTCATCACAAAGGCATAATTTTGTCCCTTTTTGTTATAGCTGCGGAAGTTCTGAATGTAAATATACCCTTGCAAATAAGTACAAGAATTAATCTAATTTTATTTATTTAATTGTATTTATTTGATTTTATTTCATGAGAGCTTCTTTCACCCAGCAATTAGTTGTCATACTTGGTTTTCATATTGCCAAACTCTCCCTGTGTGCACTATGCCAATGTAAGCTCCATAGCTGTTCAAAGTTTTCTGTAATATCTTTGCACAAATACAAGTTTGCTGTGCTTACTTTGGTTTGTGGCTCTCAGCAATAGCTCAGATGTAGGCAGATAGCTACTGTGATAACAGCCAACACATTTTTCTGTGAAGAAACAGTTATGAATTCCTTTATGTTTTCTTGGTTTTAATTTTGTGATCTTTTATGATCTTCAATTGAATTACCTTTGGTCTTTCTACATGTTATAAAGTATGTGTGCCATCGGCTGTTACTAAAAACGCTGACACTTCTGTCAACTGCTTCATATTTACCTTCCCCTCGTCATCCCCCCCCAAAACAAGACTTTGCACAACTCTTCACTTCCAAGAGACAGGTTATGGAAGACAACAAGGAGCAAGTAATTACAATTGTCAGCAATGCTTTATAGGTTTCTGGAATTTGTAACTAAGGTTGGGAAGAGGTCACTTTATGCAGCAGCATTGTTGCAGGAGATTTTATAAGGTGTGCTGTTTTGGGAAAAAAGACACCCATCTGGCAAAATAGCCACTCTGTAAATTGATATGACATTCTGTATTTACTGTCATTGCCACCCACTGATTTAAATGAAATGCAGGTTTTAATTTGTATAAGATGAATAAAATATGTGACAGGCACATGAGCGCACCAGCTGTACGAGCAATTGGATCATGTTATTGCAATTAACATAGCGATATTCACAAGGGATTCTTTTTTCAAATGCGATTGTGATTATTTTATTTTTTATGTGTTTGAAAGGTGGAAATGTTGGAGAGTACTTCACACTAAATAACACTTCAGGAAAACTGCTGGTCACTCGTAGCTTAGACAGAGAAGACGTCAGCAATTTCACTCTTGTAATTGAATGTCGTGACCTAGGCAGCCCCTCCAAAAGCTCCACTGCCCAACTCTACTTAACGGTCTTGGATGAAAATGACCACAGCCCATTGTTTGCAAAGACTCAGTATCAAATCTCCGTGAGAGAAGACCTGGGGGAAGGCTCAGCCATCCTGGACCTCTTTGCTTCTGATGAAGATGATGGCCTGAATGGCGAAGTTACGTACTCCCTCATTGACGACACCTTTGGAGCATTTGCTGTTGACAGTGTAACAGGGTCTATAATTACTACAAAGGCACTGGACCGGGAGACCAAATCCCAATATACGTTTAGGGCTGTGGCAAGTGACTCTAGCGCCCATTTGCCAAGAAGCAGCACTGTCAGGGTTGTGGTGCACATTGATGATGTCAATGACAATGATCCTGTTTTTTTGCAGAATCCTATCAGGGCCTTTGTGCCTGCTCAAACTGCTGTGAATGAGACAGTAGCCACTGTGAGAGCAGAGGACGTGGATCTAGGGCCAAATGGAGCTGTTGTTTTTAGTTTGATGGTAGCAGAAACTGTATTTCAGATCGACACAAAGACAGGTGACGTCATTCTTCAGGAGCCCTTGGCTTCCAAGGACTTCGGTACCCAGCTGCTAGTGAGAGCTTCAGATCAAGGTATCTCACCTCGAACAGCCACAGCTATGGTCATTATCTTTACAGAGGAACAAGAAGAGGAGATTTTGTTCAGCAACAGCCTGTATGAAGCAAGCGTGCCTGAGAACAGTGCAGCAGGTGGGCATTTGTGTTCTTGTGGTTGCCAATCTCCCCTCCTTTTGGAATGGTAATTGTAATGAATAGTATAGGGAAACTTTTTTCCTGTGCAGCAGCAGAGAAGAGTTAATTTGGATGAAGGAAATATCCATCTGCCCTTTTCCAGGGCACCAGAGTGAAAAAGAAGCATGCTTTGTTAGTTGGAGGCATCGTCTGGCTCTGGAGCTTGCTGCCCATGTACAACAGTGTTCCTCACACTAAACAGAAAGCTCCTGTGTCAAAGGTGGCGTGTTTCCATCCCTCAGCCTGGGAAGCCTTGAGCTTCCCAGTCAAAATGACTTTAATGATGGGTGAACAGCATTTATCCATCTCTTCACTTGTCAACACACACAAGCTCAGATGAGATGAGTGGTGTGTACTAGTTGCAACACAACATTTCTTGATTTTGCAAAACCCTTATGAACTGTAATAGCTTTCAGAGATCCTCTAAAACCTTACTGAAGTTTTGGACTTTCCACAAGAAGGAGAATGTGTGTAGGGAGGGGTGAAGGGGTGAGAAGTTTGGAGGCTGTGGTACATGGTCACTCGGACAGGCTTCTACAGTGCACCTCTACGCAGAGCCTGTGCTATTGAATGCTATCGATAGACCTAAATCACACAGTACTTACAGATTTACTTATTTTTTTTTAGTATAATGATAAGAATTACTGCTCTACTTTTTATCATTCAGAGAACATTTGTAGTTATGCCTCCTGCCAATAAGATATGGTAAGTACCTTTCCCTGCTTCAGGGGATGGGTTTATCCTAATGAGGGGCAGAGAGGAGTGTCTTGAACATTTGTCTGCCCGCAAATCCTGCTGTACAATTGACTAGACATATTTAGAGATCTGACCTGCACTATATTCTTGATTCAAACACTGCCTCGTGAGGTTCACCTTGAACAAGTAATTTATCCTCTTTATAGTTCAAATTTCCCTCAGTAAAATGAAAGCAATATTCCTTTGTATCCTAAGGGTATCGTGAGACTAGTAAATTCTTAGATCTTAAGTAACAGCCTATATATTTGATTAGGAATTGGTAAAAAGAAATGTGTTAATTTTGGAAAAGCAATCAATACTCTCAGATAATTGCAAACAGAATAGAGAGCTAAGGGTGAAGATGGCTGTTGCAGTAATTACTGCTGTGATTACTCACCCATTCCTTCCTCTATGCCTGTTTGGGACTACAAGCCAAATTTTCAGCAGTGTATTTTAAGATAAAGATAATGCTGTGGTTGTTACTGATGTTTCAATTAACAGATTGAAAATAGGCAATAAGGTGACTTTTTTTTTAATTAAATTACTTTTTTAACCATAGATGAAATGTTTTGGGTTCAGGCTATTTTTAGAGTTGTGATGAGTGATCAAGCCACCAAGTTAGAGCATCCTTCTAACTCTCTTGCTGTCTGTCAAAAACCGTGGGATTTTGGAAAAAGTAGAAGGCTTCCAACAGGAAAAAGTGGAGCGTTCAGTGGCCTGGTGGTTAAAACACGCTTCTGAAATATGACAGGTGTAGATTCAGGCCTCCTCAGGCAGAGTAGCATTTCCCTTTCACTCCATAGAGACCAGTCTGAGTACAAAACCTATGGGATAAGAAGTTCTTTGAAGTTCTTTAAAGTTCTTTAATTTTATTTTTTTAAACCAGTGCTTCATTTATTGCTTCTATTACAAACATACACAAAAAAATCCCTAAACACATTTGTCCTGAAATTTAAAAAATGCTTTTTGTTTGATCAATTTGACCAGGATTTACAAGTAGTTTTAGACACCTTAAAAATGAAATTTTTATGAATGTGAGTCACAGATACCTCAAGGCCTCCAAACCTTGTTTTACTAGCATCAGCACTGTACAGTAATTAATCATCTGTTACTTTGCGCGGGAGAGTCTGCCCTTTGGGAATTGCTGCTTTCAGAAGATACAGTTTGGAAGTCACAGCAGTGTGTGTTAATCTCTCATTTTCTGTCTTTTCATTGATCTACCCATTGAGAGTCAGTTTACGGGGGCCTTGATCCTAGGTGTCCGGAAAGCGCGGAGACCAGGGTGTTTCCAGAGGTGAGCCCTGGGCTCAATTTTTGTCTCTCCCTTGCTGCAGCAGGCTTGTATTTTCAGAAAGTATCATGAGAACTTTCCCCATGGTAAGGTCAAGGCCCTGGGGTTTCACTCTTCTCGAGAGAGATGAGATTAACCTGCATTAATCCTGCATTAAAATTTCTTTCTAGTTAAGAAAAAAATAAGAGGGAAGATAGGTTTTGTTAGGAAACATGTATTGATTTAAAGAAAGAAAACATAATTGAGAGCTTTATGGGAATAGAGAAGCTAATCTGATCCTAAATGTAGATACATTCATGGGTCAGGCTAGACAATCCAGCCTGAAATCATGGAAATGCCCCAAGGACCTGAGGTAGCAGAATGCCATAGTCAGATTGTTCTCCCATTCAATCTATAGAAAATATAAATAAGATTCAATTTAAGTTGTTTTGATTAAAGGAAATTTAGCAAAGCTTCAGAGTAAACAGGAGGGTTTCATCCCAAAATTTTAGTTTGTATATTTAATGAAAGTCTATTTGCTAAGAAGATCAAATTCTTTTAAGAGAATGATGGATTTTACCAAATACTAATACTGTTTTGGCTCTGTTTGTAGCATTTTCTTATTTATATAAGCATAAGTAAATATCAAATATTTTACATTTCAGTGGGGGAAAAAGCATGATTATAATTAAAACTCTCATAGAAGTTACTTACAGGATATATGTGATCCTGGGACCTCTACAAGTATGAATGGTACCAGTGTATTCAGTCCAGGGGAGATTTACATTACGTACTGATTATTTGTAGAACTGGTATTAATAAATGTGGCTTTTCCTCCTAATTTTATTCTACCTTAACTAATAGAGTGGGAAAACTCTAAGTTTATTTTTAAAAGAATAAAAAAATCTGAATAGTATAAATAACGAAAGCCAAAGCCAAGGGTCCTTAGTTTTAATTTAGTCTAAACTCGTGAATTGGGTGAATGCCTCAGGAATTGGTCCTTGTGGTCAGATTTTCTTTAAGTGTTTGACCTCCAAGTTTAATGACCTTCAGAAAATCCTGTTCTACTTTTTGTTTAATATTAAATATTTAATGTCTTTAGATATTATAAACTGCATTACAACAGGCACTTAGAAGCCAGTCAATAAATAATCAAGTCACTGAGGTCTCCAGAGGGTAAGAAACCTTTACTATTCACCAGGCTTTCACTTGAAGGGTTGTTTGCATAGCACTTCCTTGGAGACAGATTCACCAGTAAAACTTGTTGACTCTTGTATTTTTTTTTTTTCCTAATAGATAGAAAATACATAGCCTCTTATTCTCTAAAGGCATCTCTTACTCTTTGTGCTCAGTTAGCTTTTTCTTTCATGAGCAATTAAGAGGTCTCAAGAAATAATGGCAAGGATGAACTGGGGTTAATGACAAAGGAGGGGAAAAGAGACTACTATAATGAGTACTGAAGGGAGAAAAAAAACAATGATATAGTGATATGGTAGCTTAGTTCTGGAGTATGTTATGAACTAACGCAGAGTACAGCAAATGTTTTTGAACCTATTTGGTCAGGTAGGCAAATACTGTCCACGCTGCCATGCTTCAGTTTCAAGTCAGCAGGCATAATATAAAGGTTGGTGTGTAGGCTATTTAAAGCAGTTTGAGATACTTTCAAATGCAATCAGGTTGTCTGTCATTGAACCGAAAAAAAACCCCTAAATGTAAACATTTAAAATCACTCTTCACTTCCTTTAGTATTCTTAACTAATTCAGCAGTTGATTGCATAGCATTTCAAACCAATCTGACTGCTTTCTGCTATGATCCTGATCTCCCTTCTTCCTTGCACTGCCTTTAGTGCCGATTTCATCATCGTCATGCCATTTCAGTGTGCTTTGCAGCCAGAAAGCTACCTTCCTCTTCATTTTCTCCAGGTTAAGTGTTACATGTTTTGACCTCTGCTTGAAGCAGTATTTGAATGACATATACTTGAAATTGCAAGCTCCAACAGATGGGTACTGTCTTGCACTATTTACCTGTATAGGGCCTGTTTGTGTCACAATAGACCTCAGAGTTTGGGCATATTTTTTTGACAATGAACTGTAAAAATTTGCTGTTTGAATGAGTCATTTTCTGTGAAACTTAACAGAAACAGGAAATTTTTCTCTGCCAAAAAGAAGTTGTAAACAATGTTAGCTACATGAAGAATATGAAACTTAAAGGATTAGGATGTGAGGACCCAGAGCAACAATTTATTAACCTAACCCCTGAAAAATAGGGATTCATGTAGAAATGCTCCTGCTTCCTTTATTTCTGGTAGTTTTTCTTCTTAAACACACAAGCAAACAAACAAAAAAGACTGCTGACAGCATTAGAAGATAAATAGTGACATTCTTCGGACCTTGAATTTTTTTCTTATGTTTAACTCTGCTCTGAGGATGCTATGAATGATTGCCCTTGCAGGCTTTTGCAGTAAATCAAAGTTGCTCAGCAATAAAATTCAACCTACAACCCCCTATTTTAGGTCCTAAAACAACCAACAGTGCAGTGTTCATATCAGTCTTTACCTGTTGGACTGTTGGATCTTACTTCTAGAACTTTTCTAGTAAATATCCCGTAAAGATGTTAACTAGTACAGAAAATTACATCTGTCAAAATTGGCATGCTTTGCTTTTGACAGTCAGATTTTAGGAGCAAATAACAAAGCACTTAAAACATAATTTCCCTGTTTTAAAAATCAATAAGTAACAATGCTAAAATTAAAAAAGGTAGCAGATAGTTGTAGGAGCGTGTTTCCTCTCATTTTTACATTAAAGATAAAGTCCTTTCCTCTAACATCCAGGACACTGAGTGTGAACAGCATGCCCTTGGTAATGTAATAAAATACCTAGTTGTCTGTAATGCTGTTTGGAAGAGTTCAGGTTGCACAGTAACCTCACTCCATCACAGTTGCATGGAATCAACTAGTTAAAACTAGTTGCATGGAATTAAATAGTTAAAATCCATTAAAATCAATTGCCATATATGCTAAACAATTTCATAACTCACTTGAAAAGAACAATTATTTGAAAATCTTGATAATGCTTTTCAAACTTGCTACTTTTTTGTTACATGTTATGATTCTGAGCAGGATAATGTATTCAGTTCCACATTTTTACTCTAATCCTATTTCAAACAGAATTTTTATTTTGTGACTCTTGTATGCTATATTAAATTATTGAACTTTTCATGGAATTTGAATTCTGCTTGAATTGGCATATAGCTATGCGTGCAGTTTCATCTCTGTTAAAAGATGGCTAATTAAAATTTTTAAAAATATTTCATTAAAAATACTGTTCAAAAATCCAAATTAAATTGAGATAAATGAAGGAAAAATAAACTCTTTATGATGATTCAGGAGTAACATGCTTTCCTATGATGCACAAAAAAAGGACTATTTTCCTTAAAAGAGTTGATGAAAAGATGAGATGTAAATGACCAAAGACAGCATAACCTGAATAGAAAGAATACATATGACTTCAGGTAAGAGGTAATTCCGGTGGTACGTGGGAGTTTACAATTAGGAAGGGTTAAAGCTCATCATTTTATTTAGACAGGTGATGAAGTTGTGATGAGTAATTTACTGGGCAAGGAGGGATAGACGGTGCCTTGCCTAAGGAGTTGTAATGCAATTAGTCATGGAGCAATTGTTTTTATTGTCTACTATTTTAATTCATTAATAAGTACCTAGCCTAGTACATAGGTGGCTGGCTGTGCATCTGCTATTAATCACATTTATGTAAAATCAGAATAAAACCTTCTAAAATGGACGTGATGAAAATGTCTTATTGCTTCCATAGGTACATCACTTCTAACTGTAGAAGCTTATGAACGCAAATTTACAGGAGAAAACATAAAATACAGCATCTTCAGCAACAAGGAAAGCATATTCTCCATACACCCTGCTACAGGTACATTTCTATAACTTTTTTTCAAGTGTCTATGTGTAGCTTAAAGAGTGTGGTCTCTAAAATACAGCAAGTTTCTACCGTAAGAACAAGGGATAGATAGAGTATTATTCTCCTGTTACAATTAATAAATCATTAGTAAAACCAGGGATGAGGAGAGACCTGCACTATTGTAAACTTGATGTGGAAAGAAATTGAACTCCAGTATACCTGTTTAAAAGACTCAGCTCTGATTAACTATTGATCACCAGGTGTTGGGAGTTGATAAACTACTGCTTTGTGATCCAAGCTGAGACTCCGTCTTGTTTCTCATCATAAAGTTGCCTAAAAACTCAATAAACAAAATCCTTCAAAACACTCCTACTGTAGGAAGCATTAGACCCTTGTTGATTTTATTAATATTAATTGAAGTGCAGCCTTTCAGGACTTTTTAAGAGCAGTTCTTACCTCAGCATTAATTTTGACACCAGTGTCTCTCTACCCATTGTAGAACTGTTTTAAGCTATATTGATGCCCTTGTTTCAGGCTAAGCTTGACAAGTCTGAAAGTCAAGTTTGTTTGGTTTTTTGGCAATTGTATCTGCATTCTGCAGCAAGTCTGATTTCATCTGCCTTTCAGTCAGGAACTTCGGATGTCAAGAGAGTGGTGTGTTCCCCATGTGCATTTATGTGCTCTCTTCTAAGGCATGTAAGAGAGAGAGCATAGCTACAATGGTTGCTTCTCAACTTCTAAACATGTGCAACAAAAGAGTTTGCCTTCTGCATAGCTGTAGTCTTTCTGGCATGGCATAGTCACTGTAAGCAGTTTTCCTCAGAAATAGTGTAAATAGTTTGTACTCTTAACAAATGGCTTTCTCCCTGAGTTCCTGGAGGCTTTAATCCCTGGTTATTCTGATGTCTCCAGGCATCAGGTGGTATACTCCTGTAAAGCTATCATGTTCGATGCTGATGGGCAGTTAAAATTATTTTGTTTTGTTTAGATGAGGGGCACTTAAAGTGCATACACTTGATTTCCAAGTCCTTATTTCACTGAAATAAAGCTAGAAAGATTAATCTTAAAGAATATCAAGACAAGTTTATCCCCAAGGAAGTGAATCTTCTCCAATATCACCTCCAAAAAAACAAAAAAGAAGAAAAAAAATAATCTGATTTTCCTGGGTTTTTTTGTTGTTTTGGTTTTTTTAATCAAGCCAGGCTGAAAATGGTTACATGATGTTTCTAAAAGTGTCATAAGCACTTTCTTCACAAACAATAGTGGAATTTCTATAGCAGTGGATGTCACAAGTCTTCTTTTGAGATATTTGAGCCATTGTGTTTTCTCCTGTTTCTTCTCTTCTGTTTCTTAGGAAATATTAATAGTTCTTTCAGGACTATTTAAGAGCAGTTCTTACCTCAGCATTAATTTTGACACCAGTGTCTCTCTACCCATTGTAGAACTGTTTTGAGCTATATTGGTGCCCTTTCTATCTCAGGTATTCTAAACAGCCAAAGCTCTGCTCTACTTGTCTTTTCAAGCACTGGTGTTAATTAACCCCACTTTGGAGAAGACTTTCTCCCATTCTAGGAGCATTTATTATATTGTAGAATCATATAAAGTACAGTAGGAAATGACCCAAAGACATGAATTAGTCTGTCCTCTGACACAGAAAAGGAATCAATTGTGCAGAAATCTGACAGAAGTTTGTCTGTTGTATTCTTAAAAACCTCTAGTGATAGCGATTCTGCAAACCCTCTCAATAGTCTGTACAAGTCTTGGCAGTTGGAAAGTTTTCATATTTATCTAAATGTTTGTTGAAATAATTTAAACTTATTACTTCTTAAGCTAGTAACAACAGATATAAGACAAAGGCAAAAAACTTCTTCTTTACATATTTGAATATTGTTACCCTGTTTCTTCTTCGTGTGCTCTTCTCTAGAATGAACAGCTCTTGTTCTTTCACTCCTTCCACCTAGGCAACGTACCTCAGACTTGATTATTTGCTCTACTCTGCACTAGAGTCTTTCAGTTACTCTCTGTCATCTTGAAGTGTATTCCTTCTGCCACTGTCTATTTTGTTTTTTCTGTATTAAGAATGCGATAGTTTTTAAGTGTTGTGCTGAAGAGAGACCACCTGCCAGCTTTGAAATCTTTGTTCAAGACATAATTCTTGAACACTGAACAGATCCATAAACAATAGCCAATCATTGCTGCTTATCTTAGAAAATAAAAACTAAAAAGCACTAGCTTGGAGAGCAACAGTAAATGGGTTCTTCTGCTATCACAGGCTTGGGATATAGATATTCATGGCATCATTACTGAAAAATCCATGCAAAACTGAATTTAAATTCTAATGAAATTAACATACAAATTAACTATGTTTGATGTTTAGATGTAATGAAGAATTTTGAGTATATGACCACGGGTTTCCAAGGACATTTCAGGTTTAATGTGGACATGTTTAGTTCTTGTAGAGAATTTTCACTCATTATTTTTGATAGAATAACAGTTCCAGGGGAGGGGGGCTCACTGCATCAGGAGGAGTCAGTATTTTACCTGTATGTCAGTCAGATACAGAAATTGATACAGCTATTGCCCAATTTGAATATAGATGAAGGGCTAGATGTAGCCACTGTCAGATGAGGGCCAAGAATCTCTTCAGACACAGCTGGCTCACTGTCACGTGTCAAGGAGCACATGTCACACAGCTACTTTCTTCCTCTCTATCCCTCTGCAAGTAAATTGGCTTTGTTTTAGGAAATTACCACTGTGGTGGTTGATCAGTGAAAACTTAGCTGTCCAAGATTTGTGTAGTAACTAGCATGGTGGGGGGTGATGTTAGGTAGATGAAGGACACGGTGGAGATCTTGCTGGAATTCTGTCATGTGTTCAGTGAAGGAGACCATGTATGTTAGGGTCTTTATAACTACATTTGGCGTGTTTTTTCCTGAATGCATATGTCACATTTCAATATTTATTATTTTTTTATTTTATTTTATTTTTTATTTTATTATTTCAATATTT